TTTTTTTTTGGGGGGGGGTGGTGGTAAGATTACCAAAACAGCTACAAATCCAAGTCAAGTGTGAGTGGTGCACACCTGTAACACCAGCACTCAGGAAGCTGAGGCAGAAGAGTGCAAGGCCAGTCTAGCTAGAGTGAGACCTAGCTCCAAAGAGTAACAAAAAGCCACAAAATGGGTATCAACTGAAATGTTAAAATTCTCTTTTAAGAACTATGGAAGGGATGGATGCAATACAGATACATAATCAAGAAACCTTCCACAACTTTATTACGGCAGATAATTACATATCCTAATTAATAATTATTCCACTCCTAGAAGTATAGTAATAAGCATATTTTGGGGATATGATGGAGCAGGCCTTTAGTTCCAGCACTTGATAGACAGAGGCAAGCAGATGTCTATGAAAGAGGCCAGACTGGTCTACACATGAGTTCAGGCCCGTTGGGGCCACAGGGAGACCCTATCTCAAAAAGACTTTAAAAAACACATATATATACACACACACAAGAAAAACATGCTTTGCTGGGCGCATGTCTTTAGGAGGCAGAGGCAGGTGTATCTCTGTGCGTTCTGGGCCAGCTGGGGCTACAGGGAGACCCTGTCTCAAAAATATCAACTCCCCCCTCAAAAAAAAACCCAAACCATGTTTTATTTTGCTTAATTAGTAATTTCAAATTTAAACAATTTTAATACTTATTTCTGAAGAGAAGTCTTCACCTTGTAAACATAAAGGTATTCTCTGAGAAAGGCCCCTTGTTGGGCAGCAGACTGCCTACTTTCATTGATTAAAATATGCCTAAAAGCAGACACAGCATTGTCCAGTTGCCTCAGAGTATAGGACTGGCGCCCAATCGTGAAGTTGATGTGATCCTCTGCCAGAGACCAGCCTTTTCCTTTGTAAACTTGCATGGCTTGACAGTAGCAGCGCAAGGCATGCTTTTTCTGTAAGAAAACAAATGAAACAAGTATAACGAGTATCTGTCTTCAACTGGAAAAAAACAACACAAACACATGCAGAAGACAGACACAGCTACCACCGAGAGGCTGGCTCTAGAAAGACTGTGATGGGGAGCATGAAGCATGGCATTTATGATGACCTATGTGGAATGAGAGGCTGCTTCCTCGGCCATCTAAAGTGTGTGTGCATGCTCTGGTCTGTTCTGACATGCACCCCTCATTTCTCTGAAGCTAATTTCTGAGGATAAAGTTCACCTCTCAAGTTGGCTTTATTTCAAATTCTTTCTGGGAAAAGTCAGAACATGATGATTAATCTTATGTCAACTGGAACAGATCTGGACTCACCATGAAGCCCACCTCTGGGAATGTAAGATTGTTTGCAGAAAGGTTTAACTGAGAAGGGAAGGCCCATCCTGAATATGGGGTGCCATTCCAAGGGCTGGGGTCCTTCCTACTTTGAATAAATAGGAACGGCAGGATGGCAGTGAGGTGGCTCAGTGAGCAGAGGCCTAACACCCATGTTTGATACCCCCATCCTGCAAAGTGACAGGAGAGAGAGAACTGACACCCAAAAGTTGTCCTCTGATCTTCACATGTGCAGAACAGTATGTGAGCCCCACACCCACATCATGCACACACACAATAATAATCAATTTAAAATTTTAAAAAAAAAAAAAAAAGAGTCACAATCAGGGGTAGTGACACACACCTTTAATCTCAGCACTCCGGGGGCAGAGGCAGGCAGTCACCTGTGAGATTGAGGCCAGTCTGGTCTACATGGCCAGTTCAAGGCCAACTGGGGCAAAAGGGAGACCCTGTCTCAAAAACAAAAAGGAAAAAGATATTTTTTTTTTTAAAGGTGGGCATGGACACATAGGCCTTTACTTCAAAGACTTGGGAGGCAAAGGTAGGCAGATCCCTATGAGATCAAGGATAGCCTGGTCTACATATCAAGTTCCAGACCAGCTGGGGCAACAGGGAGACTGTCTCAAAAAATTTAGAGTCACAGAAAAGTTAAACAACCAAATGCTAATACCATTAAAATTTAAGCTATCTGCTGAGTATTCTCCCCATCATTTTTGACAGTCATTTATGATTTAAAATTAATCCTAGCCAGTGGTGTAGTGCATACCCTTTAGATTCCCATACTTGGGAGGCAGAGTCCAGCCTGGTCTACATAATGAGTTCCAGGTCAACTGTGGCTACAGAGAGACCTGGTCTCAAAAAGACACCTTTAATTCCACCACTGGGAAGGCAGAGGCAGGTGAATCTCTGTGAGTTCAAGGTCAGCCTGGTCTACAAAGCCAAGCCAGCTGGGGCTACAAGGAGACCCTGTCTCAAAAAGATTTGGGGGGGGGGGGCTGCGGAGAGGCTCAGCAGTTAAGAGCACTGACTGTTCTTGCAGAGGATGCATTTTGATTCCTAGCACCCACATGGAGGCTAACCGTCCATAATTCCAGTTCTAAGGGATCCGACAACCTCTTCTGACCTCTGTGGGCATTGCACAACATGAGTGCACTTATGCACATTCATCCAATACACTCAAACACATAAAATAAATAATATTTAAAAAAGGAAAACAACACAACTTTTTATTTTAAAGAAAATATGCTTACCTGTCCTGCTTTACTAAACCGATGGCCAGCCAGGATCATGTGAAATGCATATTTTCTAACCATGGGGCTCTTCATGTTTATAAAGCAATGTGCAGCCTGCTCCAAAAGAAGTGCACTGCGAAGATCAGAATCCTATGGAGTGTTTAGAAGAACAGTCAGCCTCATGAAAGTTAAAGTCAAAGATAACTGCTCAAAAACCACTTCGGGGCATCCAGTGCTTGGAGTATAAGAGAGCAGCGATAAACTGATCTTGATTCTTTAAGAAGCACAAATTTTATTTTAAAAGACTTCAAAAAAGTGATAAATATATATATATATATGGGGGGGTCACTTCATTAAATCCAAATGCCCAATTATGCTATGTACTATGTAAAATAAATCTCTGGAGAACTGCAATCCCCTCTCCCATGGTTAAATGGGGGAGGAGGACCATAAACTAAGAATAATTACAGCAATCTAATTTCCCCTGGCTACCAGCAGTGCCCTCCAGCAGCACACTCAGCACACCCCAAAGAGAAGTAGCAGAATGCAGAGTGTGAGAGAGCTAAGCTACTTTATTCTCTTTAAAGATTCTGATACTCAAAGGACTCCTCAATTTTTCCTGTAATTCTAAAAAATCAAGTGCTTACTTTTTCATTAAAAAATTCAGAAGGCTTGCCTTTCAAAAACAGTCTCTTTACCGGCATTTTGTACAACAGTAAACAGTACAACTGAAATTAGTTTCTGCTTGATTGACCCTTACAACACAGCAGCTACACAAATCACCATTTGAGGGCCACCCTTTCCCTAAGTCAGCACTTTTCAGATAGATGAGAAAAGGTACTGACATTTGCTGGTTAAGAGTCAACAACATTTCATCCAAACTCTCTCTAGGCTTTGGCTGTTCTTGAGCTGACTTACCATGCCCTTCCATGTGTTCTGCTACCATTATTTTCCCCAGGAAAAGTTGGAAACAGAAAACACTGACTTTAAATGCAATAATGTCAACATATAGTTACATGAAAAAGTGTTCACAGACCATTATTATAAACTATCTTTGTAGTAAATGACAGAGATCTGAGGAAACCAGGTAAAACACACTTAATAAACAGCAGCTATCATTACTTCAAGTACAAATTAAATGATCAATGGTCTAAGAATTAAGATCCAAAAGCCAGTAGGCAGAAAAAACAGGACTATATAATTAAAAAATAGCTTTAACAAGGATTTGTACATCAGAATTAACTGCAGGATACTAGCTTAGTATTTTATGATTTCAAAAAAAGCCTTTCTGATCTAAATTTTAAATTTAAGTGTGTGTGTGTGTGTGTGTGTGTGTGTGTGTGTGTGTGTGTGCGTGCGCATATGTGGTATGTGCACAAGAGTGCAGGTGCCTGTGGAGGCCAGAGGCATGAGATTCCATGGAGCTGGAGTGACAGCCACCTGACATGGGTGCTGGGAACCAAACTAGATCCTCTGCAAAAGCTCTTAACTATGTTGAGCCATCCCTCCAGCTTATATTTTTAAGGAGTGTCGAAACAAAAAAGTACACATCTTTCTTTGCCATCCCATGCTACAACTCTTTTGCAAGAGGTAACTACTATCTCCAACTCAGCAGTGATGTTTTCTCACTGTCTCTTGTAACAAACACCTGTGTGCTGACATGCCCAATAGGTATGTTTGAAAAAAAGACTTTTTTAGGCATAAGCAGTATTATACATAATAGCTTCCTTTTTTCCACAGTATCTTTCCAAGACATCTACAACTCTTACTTCCTTTAAATATACACTATATTTGACTGTGTAAATATATCACAACTTATAGTCCCAACTGACTGACCACATACTGTTTCATAGTTTTGCTACTACAAAATGATTGAGTCCGTCTAACTTCTCAGTGTGCTCACTGCTGGGAACTGCCAGGTAAGTGGGCCTGCCATCCAGCTGCATTTCTTGCTCCTGCTTTCTGAGATGAGATCTCACAGCCTAAGGCTGGTCTAGAACTCTGTATCCTAGGCTGGTCTAGAACCTACAATCCTCCTGCCTCTGCCTTCTGTGTGCCATCACACCCTGTTATAAAAAAAGTTTCATAATTATTCAAATGTTTGTATCACACCAATTTCTGGAAGTAGAAACACAAAGGTAATAGTGACAATTACACTCACATTTCAGATTGCAATCACTGCAGAAAAAAACACACTTAAAGGAGGATGAATTAATACTTATCATCAACAGATTATGGTTCATGAGTCCATTCTGGGAAACCAAAGTCTTTTTAAACTTCTTAACCAATAAAGGAAAAAAATGATATTTTGTTCCTTATCATGTATTTCTTTCCTGGTCAAACCTGTGTGTTTTTTTCTATTAACTGCCTGCTTATATCCTCCTGAGAGGTTTTATGATTTTTCTGGCTTAAGAAATAATTGATCAGCCAGGTATGGTGGCTCACACCTTTAGTCTCAGCACTTGGGAGGCAGAGGCAGGAGGATCTCTGTGAGTTCAAGGCCAGCCTGGTCTACAAAGTGAGTTCCAGGCCAGCTGGGGCTAGAGGGAGACCCTGTCTCAAAAAGACCAAAAAAAGGGGCTGGAGAGATGGCTCAGCAGTTCAGAACACTGACTGTTCTTGCAGAAGACCCAGGTTTGAATCCCAGCACCCACATGGCAGCTAACAACTGTCCATAACTTCAGTTCCAGGGGATCTGACAGCCTTTTCTGTCCCCCGCGGGGACTGCACGACACGAGAGCTCTTACCTACATGCAGGCAATACACACATACACATAAAATAAAAATAATATTTAAAAAAAGACCAAAGAAAAAAAAGAAATAATTGGTTAATATTAGTTCTTTATTATACATTCGCAAATATACTTTCCAGTTTTGATATTTTAAAAAAGGTTAGTCTTGGCATTGGAGAGACGGCTCAGTGGTTAAGAGCACCAGCTGATCTTGCAGAAGACCCAGGTTCAATTCCCAGCACTCACATGGCAGCTAACAACCATCTGTAAGTGCAGTTCCAGGGGAATCTGATATCATCTTCTGACTTCCATGGGCATTGCATGACATGGGTGCAATATACTCATACACATAAAATAAAAGTTAAAAATATTTTTAAAAAAAGTTTAGGTCAGGCTGGGTGTGGTGGCACACACCTTTAATCCCAGCACTTCAGAGGCAGAGGCAGACGGATCTTTGTGAGTTCAAGGCCAGCCTGGTCTACATAGTGAGCTCCAGAACAGATGGGGCTACAAGGAGACTCTGTCTCAAAAAGACAAAAAAAAAATTTGGTCTTTTATGATCAAGCATGCCATTTTTTGCTTTTATGATTTCGATTACTACACCTTAAGATGGGCATTGTGGCACACACCTACAACTGCAGCACTCAGGAAGCCACATGCAAGAAAGAGGGTCATAAGTTTGAGGCCACCTTGGGCTACACAGTGAGACCCTGTCTCAAAATGGTAGAGAGGATCCAGGCGTGGTGGCGCACACCTTTAATCCCAGCATTCGGGAGGCAGAGGCAGGCGGATCTCTGTGAGTTCAAGATCAGCCTGGTCTACATAGTGAGTTCCAAGCCAGCTTGGGCTACTGGGAGACCCTGTCTCAAAAATACCCAAAAACCAACAAAACAAAACAAAACAAAACAAAGTAGAAAGAAAGGGATGGAGTGAGGGAAGAAGCAAGAGAAACTGCATCAAACAAACTAAAAAATGATAACATCCTCAGGTTTAAAAATTAAGGTGGGGGGGGCTTGAGAGATGGCTCAGTGGTTAAGAGCACTGGCTGTTCTTGAAGAGGACCCAAATTCGATTACCAGCACCCACATGGCAGCTAACAGTGGTCCGAAACTCCATCCAGTTCCAGAGAATTTGACACCGTCTTCTGACCACCAAGGGTAGTGCATGACAGGGGTATACTTACACACAGGCAGGCAATACACTCATACACAAAAAGTAATAAATAAAAATATTTTTTAAATTAAAAAATTAAGGTAAGAATCCAGCTTGAATAATGTGACAGTGCCATGTAGTAAATAACCTACTTTCCCCACTGATTTTAAATGACACTTTAATCACACTATTTAAATACTCATCCTAGTGCACTACTGTGTCAGTTCTTAGCACTATACAGTTTCAGCTGTTATAGCTTTACAATATATGCTTTAATATCTAGAAAGGGAATATGCTATGATTACTGTTTATATCTCAAAATTTCATTAAGGTTTCCCAATGGAGTTTCAGTTTTTCTTCAGGTCCTATAAACTTCAGTCTTTTTCTGTGGGGGGGGGGGGAATTTTGAGACAGGGTCTCCCTGTAGCCCAGCTGGCCTGGAACTCGCTATGTAGACCAGGATGGCCTCGAACTCACATGAGATCCACTTGCCTCTGCCTCCCAAGTGCTGGGATTAAAGGCATGTGCCACCATGCCCAGCTATAAGCTTCAGTGTATACAGAGGCCTGTATACACATACACATAGTATAAATATATATTTATGTATTTTTATTGCCTATGAAGCTTCATTAAACTGCAAAACATATAGGTAGCAATCCTGGACATCCTAATTAAAATAAGGAATGTTCCCTAGGTAATTGTGACGGCTTCAAATGACTCAATATACAGTCCAGCTGAGAACCAGCATAACAGACTCTGCAATCTCCAGTTAACACTCCAGGACTGAATGATGTGAGACGTGAGCATCCATGTCATAGATTAATTAGGCTGAAACAAACTGAACATTTGCTCTCACACATCATTTGGCAGCACTGGTCTTTCAGATCCTCCTATAATGACACCCAAATGGGAAAACACTCCTCTGAAATATAAGACGGTCCTGAGAAAACAAACTGCCACACTGTTGATGGAAGAGAAATCTAAGGATTTTACAAAGTGATGGTCTTTATACACAAAGCAGAAGTTTGAATGGAGCAGTCTGTATTTATTATTTCTATTTTATATGCACAAGTGTTTTGCAGGCATGTATGCAAGTACACCATGTGCACGCAATGCCAGTCAAGGCCAAAAGGGGACGTTGGATACCTGGAACTAGAGTTATAGATGGTTGTGAGCTGCCATGTGGGTGCTGGGAACTGAACCCTGGCCCTCAGCAAGAGCAGCCAGTGTTCTTAATCACTGAGCCATCTCTCCAGGCCTGAATGG